CTCGATATGCAGGAAAGAGCACAGTGCAGAAAAATAAAATTCTTTGATAACTGATTCGGATTACTCTGGTCAGAGATCTCGCATATTTCTTATTTGAAAATCGTTCATCGATAACTACGAAATTCGTCATCAGTTAAAAAATGTCAGAATTTACCCTGAAAGATTCTCGCGTAAAATATGATTAGCATGATTCAAAGCACAAATCACAATCATCGAACAAAGCTTCATTTTTTTACTATTTCAAGAGTCACTTTTCAGTTGCGCAGTAGATGCTCTCCATCCGATTTATTCTCAAATACAAACGAAATCGATGCCAAAGAACGGGAAAGGACCGCTCAAAGTGCACATCGGATTCTATGTTGAAAGTCTTGGAAACTTCAGGTCGACGGAAATGGTAAGCTTATCCATTATTTTGTCGCCATCAGCACAGATAAATCATGGGAACTTCTCGAAACTTTGGGGAATTGCGAGGTCACACTCAAGAACTTCTCCCGAAGCCTCAAATTTTCCCCAAACTCTATCGTATACGATATTTCGACTATTATAAGAATTTACCATTCTGGGCTCACTTTGTGCCAAAACGAGGACAGCATCGCTAACTCATACCCGTCCTGACACATTTGTTGAACGGATACGAAGAACCTAGCCAGAGTAATGTGCCCAAGAACATTTGGCCATTTATGATCGTAACGTGATTTCACAGAAAAGTTGTTACCCTCGAGGAAAAGATTCTGAATTATTTGAACCCGTCCTGAAACACCACACCAACAGCAAATCAAATCCCAAATCTAATGATGCGCCTAGAAAATTCATATGCTCTACATGCCCTGCAGGAGCTTTCTAAACTGCAAGTGAAAGTCATATATCAGACTAATCTCTCAAAATTCTAGACTTTCGACATGGATCTCTACCTGTATATGACTTGGCAAGATACTCGCATGAGGCACAATGGTAACGATTGGGTGTTGATAGACGGTAACTTTTCCTTCTTACCTAGAATTTGAAAAAAGCACTGCCATCCGTGTAAGAATTTACGCAGAATACATTCTACAAACAGTGGTATTACTGAATACCTGTCTGTTTACCTTCTTATTGTTAGAGAACGTTGTTTCTGTTCCAAAGAGTTTTTTCTCGTGTAGCTTTTTCCTCAAAATTACGTTCGCACTCCTCGTTCCTCTCTTCTTTTTATGAGTCTGGCGAAGCTCCAAACCTTATTTTTTTATTTTAGATAAGTCTGTTTTGGATCAAATCTGGCTACCCGACCTTTACTTTGCCAATGCAAGAACTGCTTACTTCCACGAAGTGACCGTGCACAATTTCAATATGTTCATCTCTCCCAATGGAACGATAGCTTATGGCACAAGGGTCACACTTAATCTGGGTGAGCAGCCATTTCTACCCACTTTTACTGTGTTTGGAGTAACTGAATGAAGGCTGTATCAAGCAGTTTTTTCTGATGTTCACTAAAGTAACCATAGGTAACAATCTCAAAATTTTGTTTGAAAGACTTTCTTTGAAACAATTTTATTTTTTATCGATTGTCTTTTTCGTTTTGATCCCACAAA